GGGTTAAGTGGAGACTGTGCATCGACCTGTACGGCTGTGGCTGGTGGAGCTGAGTATTCAGGATCCAGAGGAGAGGTCCGAAGCGGAGGGAGGAAAAAACCAAAACGGCAGCGGGGCAGGAAAAAAGACTGGCAATAAAACACAGGGAATATGAGCAATAAGGATCCGAAAAAAAACACAGGAAGAGCAAAACGACATGGGGCCGGATGACAAGGATTGAACTGGCAAGGGAGCGCGCGGTGAGTGGAGTATAAATAGGGAGGAAACAAACAAGGCACAGCTGGGGATAATCAGGGAAGCGGGGCAGGTGAATCGGATGGAGTAATCAGAGTAAGGACGCAGACTAGAGTGAGGAAAGGAGGAGAGGAAGGTGCCACCGAGCAAACCTGACACAGACCATGGTCAGGAGCAGATAAATTTGACAAGTCACCAAATAGCACACACTCAGTCTTATTTTTGTTGAGACATAAGAGATAATTTAGACGCTGGTCTAAAATTAGAGAACACTGAAGGGTCAAGATTTGACTTTTTGAGAAGAGGCTGGACAATCACCTTTTTAAAAGCATCTGAAACTGAGCCTGTCCTTAAACATAAATTAAAGCCAGAAAGCTAGGCCCAACAGAGTGAAAAACATCCTTAAACAATCTAGCTGGCAAACAATCCAAAGAACAGTGAGATGCTTTCATGTGGTTACCCACAGATGATACTCAGTTATATTTGTCTATGAACCCGGATGAATCAGATCAGTCGGTCACACTTCGACCTGTAATTTCTTACTTCTAGACTCTGACAAAACAGAAACTATTGCACTCTGGCTTGAAAAACTTAGAAATATGCTGTCTAACCATATAATTACTCTATGTGACATTAATGTCATTAATGAAAACACTAATGTTAATAACACTTCTCAGCTGTGTATCAAAAGCCTGCAAAACATTTTCACAACTTACTTATAGCAGACTGATTTTAGTGGTTGGTTACTGTGTTCAACTGTTTCTCTATCTTATGTTTATATTCTCATGTTATAATGAGTGCTGATGGGATTCTCACTATTGTAAATGGGTTAAGCAGTCGTTGCTGTTATTTAGCAGGCTAGATTTCTCAAAAAACTTAATTATGGGACCAGCTTTTCTCTGCCGGAGTTATTCCTACCAGTGAAGTCTAGCAATATCTTACTTAAACATATCACAACTATTACAACCCCAAATCAGAAACAGTTGGGATGGTATGTAAAATTTAATTTAATAGTGATGTGTAAATCATCCGTGTCCTGTATCACACTGAAAACAACACAGCAGCATATTAGTTGATGTGATACCTCATCAGTTTTATTGTTTGTTCAAAATAAACCCTCACTTCAAGTCTGATGCTGCAACACATTCCAAACAATATTTGGACAGTTGCATTTCAGGGCCAGTAATGAGGTAAAATAATGAAATGATGACTCCATTTGAAACAGGTGATGTCAACAGGTGACTGCATCATGATTTGGTACAGGAAAGGCCGAGCCCTTTAGGAGCAAAGATGGGCCGAGGACCACCAGTTTGCCAACATATGAGTGAGAAAGTTGTTGAAATGTTTAAAAACACCGTTCCTCAAAGAAAGACAGGAACGGGTTTGGATCTGTCACCCTCTACGGTGCAGAACATCATTAAAAGATTCAAGGAATCTGGAGGGATTTCAGTGGATAAAGGACAAGGGCACAAGTCTAAGCTGGATGACTGAGCTCTCTGATCCCTCAGATGGTGCTGCATCAAGAATCGTCACTCTTCTATAAGTGATATAACCACATGGGCTCAGGATGACTTTGGCTCACCTGTGTCAGGCACTACAATATGTAGTTACATCCATAAATGCTGCTTAAAACTGTACTGTGCCAAAAGGAAGCCCTATGTCAACAGTGTCCAGAAGCTCTGGGCTCAGAGGCATCTGGGATGGACCATCACACAGTGGAAACGTGCACTGTGGTCAGATTATTCAGTGTTTCAGGTCTTTATTGAAGGAATGGACGCCATGTGCTCCGGACCACAGACAAAAAGGACCATCCAGACCAGCAACAAGTCCAAAAGCCAGGATCTGTCATGGTCTGGGGTTGGGTCAGTGCCCTGAGCAAAGGGAACTTACACTTCTGTGATGCTCCATTAATGATGAAACACACAGATTTTGGAACTACCGTTAAGACGATATCTTTACTAGGGACTTCCATGCATATTTCAACAAGACAATGCAAAACCTCACACTGCCACATTACCAAGGCCTGGCTGTGGAGGAAAAGGGTGTGAGTGCTGGACTGGCCTGTCTGCAGTCCCCACCTGTCCCCAATAGAGAACTTAATCACTTGGTGTCCTCAGTCCCCCTAAACATCTTTTAAGTGTTGTAAAAAGGAATGGCAGCATCACATCGTGGTAAATGTTTTACTGTTTTACTGTCTCAACTTTAATTGGAATGTGTTGCAGCATCAGGATTGAAGTGTTTATTTTGAACAAAGAATAAAAACTCATGGAGGTGTCACATCAAATAATGAGCTACTGTATTGTTATCAATGTAATACAGGACACAGATGATTTACACATCACTATTTTCAGTTTTAATTTAGATTCTACATACCGTCCCAACCTTTTCTGATTTGCGGTTGTATATGAACATAAAATCTCTCAGATTTTAAATGCATGATCAGTGTTTATCACAGAGTTCAGTCATCAAAAAACACATTTAGATCATAAACATAATAAAATTTATACAGTATATATACTGTACGTATATATAACCATGTGCTTTGCGAATACATTCAATTAATTTTAATGTGCAAATGACAAACTGCCAGTTTTTCTGTTTCAGAACAGATCCTTTTAGATGAAGTGATGTCATTTTGTTTGTAGTATCTGAAACTATGTTTGGAGTGTAAACAAAGTTTTCTGCTCTCTTGTGTGAGGAGTTTCTGGATAATATATTTCCTTTAGAAGATCTCCTTAATGAATGAATACTCTCAGGAGCACACCACAGGTGGCAAAATGCTTTTGCTGTTTTGCATGTGAAATTCAAGTTAACACACAAATACTTATAGCCCTCCATCACCACAATAAACCTTTTTAAAATCAAATGTATGATTCTGTGTAATAACAAGAGGGTCACAGAAATGTCTTCTGAGTCTGACTAATGACTACAATCCCTTCATCTAAATCTGCACAGGAAGCAGGAAGTTGTGGTAAATGAAGTCAGTGAGGTTTGTACCCTGCTCTGTGATCCATCCGGTTTGCATGCTGCACACACATACACACACGTCTCTACAAGTATCTCTGTGAGGACACCAACTTTTACCCTAACTCTTATATAAACCTGATTCTAGCCTGAACCCTCAAAACAAATTGTGACTATCACTCAACACTTTGAAGCCAAATTCCTCACAATGATGGCTTTTAATGAGAATTTGTTCACACAACCAAAGGAAGTCATATAGACACACACAGAGAAATCTTTTGCTCTCTCTCTCCCACTCTGAAAAATGTAGATTGATGGCTGTAACAAGAAGGTAACTCGTAGAAGGTGAAATACTCCTTTATACGTGTCAATACACTTTGGTCTGAATGTGCGAAATGCTGTTGTTTGAACATGTCTTAAAAGAAAAAGTCCAGGGATGACTTAACAGAACAACACAACAGTCAGTTCCTCTAACAACATGACTGTACCACATTATTTGTTTAAACCCCAACCTGGAAATGCAACACAACCACACAAAGCAGAGCTGTGTGGAACTGTTCTCTCTTCAAATTGATACTGGAGTTGACAATTTGCCATTGGTGAATGTACCTCTATGGTCTTGTGGTTAGATCTCTCCTCAGCACCAGCTGCAGAAGGTCAACATCTACTGTCATTGTTCACATTACTATAGATAGGTAAGTGCCAGGAGCCTGTATCTAGCTCCTGTGTGTGCTCCGCTGTCTGGCTCTGCGCTGCAGCTGGTGGAGGAGGATTCAGCAGGTCGATGATCTGTCCTTCCCGAAGTTTCAGAAAGGCCTGCTTCAGACTCCACCTGCTGGGAGAGACAAATCCAGGTCAGGAAAAGTATAAAAAATGTATAAGACAGAAGGGGCTGACTGCACAAACCCCAAGTGTCTCTGTTCCCATTGTACACACAGTTGATTTATTTGATTAAAACTCCCTATGTCTCATCGCTAGTTTGCATAACCTATCCCTATTATGCATAATACATTGTTGTGTCAATCTATTATGTGTTAAAATACTTAAGTCATTATATAAGCATCACTGTCCACTTGCTATTTCAGTTCATACAGCTACATCAAAGATGTGACAGAGTACCATTTGCATTGTGATGTATTTCAAGGATAAAACATGAAAAGGCAGTTTTGCTAAAAGGCTGGAAAGACGCACAGGATTACCGACCTAACATCTCCCACAAACAGGCTGAATCCCAAATTATAAGTGAGCAGTCTGATGTGTGTAGAGGTGTGTGTGCTTAGTTTGTAGCAGCCTGGTGCAACACTTTTCCAATCAGGAGCTAAACTTAATTAGGCTTTCAGTTGAATCATATTTAAACTTCAAGAAAACCAACTGTTAAGACATTTTTTAAAAAGTCCAATAAATAAATGTTGTTTCCATAGTCAGTGAGTAATTGTGTTAAATAATCGTGATCACAATATTGACCAAAATAATCGTGATTATGATTGTTGCCATAATCAAGCAGCCCTAATCCATATTCGTTCATGTTTCTGCTTAAACACATTTAATATCTTCTATTTCATCTGCTGGCTGGAGAGGGTGTCATCAGAAATGTTCATTTATATTGTGGATATTATTCCACAATTGTGGCAAACTGTCTTTAAGTAGAATCCCCAAATTAGAGTGACATTTTGTCTGTGCTCCCAGTTTCCACCAAACACGCCTTGCACTGCCTCATTAGAACGAGCCCCCCCTCTCACTTGTGCAGCATGTGCTCGGCGTTGGGCACCACACAGGCTGGCAAAGTGAACCTCAAGGTCAGGAAAATACCAAACTGTATCAGCTTGTTCCCCATTTTATGTCACAACATATCAATGTGCCAACTATGAAGGATGTCAGCATCAGTATGTATATGTCACTGTAAATTTAAAAAATAAAAATCTCTGTCACCATCGTTTGTAGTGAACTCAGAACAGAACATACTAACCTGTTGGTATTAGGATCTCTAACAGAAGAAGTATACAGATAACCTCCAGTTTTTGACCCAGTCACAGGGATCTTTATCTGCAACACAATGCAAATTAAAGTCAAGATCAAGATCAGCTTGCAGGAGAGCTCATGGAGGACCTGGTCAATAGTTTTGCGTCTTTATGACTTCATTGTTGTTATTGTATCATCGGCTTCTGCGTATCTTTACACTGTGGATGAGCCAAGTCAGCAAAAACACATTTAACTGTGTTATCTATCAGAAGAGAAGCTGGTAAAACTTTAATGAATGCATTTAGATGCCACTGTAGTAGTAACACTAACACAAAAACTAACACATATTCTAAGAGCTCGGGAGCCTGCATAGCCACTAAATTACAAAATAATAAAAAACGTGCTCCCAAAGGACAAGGTAAACAAGATTGACACAGTGATGAACATGTGACCAAGGTGGAGAAACAGTGTGGAGAAAGCTCCTGTCAAGTGTTGACTGTCTAAATCACAGTACCTGTGCAGTGTGCTGATCCACACGGTTGTTTCTGTCAGTCAGGTGGATGTTGTGGACTCTTAAAGGTGGGGCCCCTAGGCTTTCCATGGCAATTGAACATGCTTCCAACTTCTGCAGTGCCAGTCTGTGATAGTCTGACTCACTGAATTTCTCTAATTGGACAGTAGACAGAAAAGTACAAGAAAAAGTCAGTTGAGGAGTCGTTCCCAGGAACAAAGTCAGTGGGGCCTGACAGCTGGTTTGCTTGGGTGAAGAGAGTAAAGTGGGCTGAGGCCATCAGCGGTCAGCTAATTGGCCCATAAATTTGACGGCAGGCACCAAAGTGTACGTGCCCTGTTCAGGTAGAGGCCCTCTGACTTTTTCCTAGCCTCCAACAGGTTGGGGATCCAGGGGCATATGTCCACTGTTTGATTCTGCCCCCAGCACAGGGCTGTACCTAAGGATTTTGTCAGTCGACTGTCAGTTGGCTCTTCAGTTGCCACTATTCATTCTTTCTTTCTTTTTTTAATACGTGTAGATATAGCCTTGGCTGTCAGAAAATCAACTGGCATGAATTTATGCATTATGCAAAACCAGTCACATGGTCGTAACAGTCTTTTCTCTTGTAAAAGTGAACCACGATGTTTGAAAAGTACAAATCTCACCTTTAGATGGTTTGACCTAGTGGTTTTGTTGTCCTTTTCTCCTTGTTCTGCAATTTGCTAAATAGTTCCGATCTTAATGTACATCCATGTATCAGACAGTGTGACCGTTGACATGCAAACTATTGGCTGGGGCTGCCTTCTATTGTAATGCACACTGGCTGACAATAAAATATAGATAATAATATATAAACATAGGCTTGACTAGAAGAGTGTCAGTAGGCTGACAGGTCTCTCCACTGCTGACCCTACTCCAGCAGCTTTAGCAGCTCAGCTGTCACACCGTCATGCTGGACAAGGGGAAAGCGGCACAGGGTGACTCAAAGTTGGGGAGATGCTGGAAGGTAAAGACAAGAATAGGTCTTTTTGCAGGAACCTACTGAACCGTAATGAAAAATATACCCCTTATTACAGGTTCTGAGCCTGTTCATACTTATTCTATAAATGTTGCTTCAAGAGCAGCAAGAAATAACCCAACAGGCTTCATAGTCTATTGTAACATATATAGGTCCACTGTGGTTCTTTCATTTTCATGACTGAAAAAGGAAAAAATAATAATAATAAAAGATAATATCTACCTCTGGGAAAATTTATGTGGGTTATACTGTATGTTGACTTTTAGTTTGGCTCATGTCCCATTTGCTAACATGGCCTATACTTCAACCCTAACTCGCAGTGGCTTCACTTCTGGGAGCTATAACATCATCCATCATTATATACAGGTACCACAAACTGTGTAATACCAGGCAGCCAAAAAAGCACCCAGCTCATTTGTACTCACTCTGCAGCAGATAGTACATGGTGCCAGTCCCTCCACCAGTCAGTATGGTTGTGAAGATGGCGAGCTGCTGCAGTTTACTGGTGGAAGCCCTCATTTTTGTTTCCTTCCCTGGAAAGTTGGACACATATAGCATCTATATAAGGATACATCTTAGCAATTGCAACTATAGAAAAATACAATGTTAAAACACTAAACATGTGTACTATATGAACATGCTCCATCTCCTCTTCTAATTGCTCCTCCATCAGACCTCAAATCTATTTCTGGTGCGGAATTCAAAATACAGTATCTAACGAAGGATTTCGCACAGTGGACAACTGGTCATTGTTCAACACTTTGCTTCTGTGGCTGAGAGATCTGGAACAAAGTTTCTAAAAGAATGCTATTATGAAGCTGGAGAGAAGAACATCGAGTTCTTAATATGATTAATACCATTCTATATCTATAGCTGGGCAGAGAAGTGTGGTACAGTTGAAGGTTTCTTCAGTATGCACTGATAGTTGGCTGTGCATCCATGAGTAAAGAGGAACTGTGTTTATGGATGTTTATGACAGACAGTTCTGACAACTGTAAACAGACACAGGTGGAAAAAATGAAGGTGCTGTGAAGCACAGTTGCCCAGTTTCGTCTGAAGAGGAGCCCACATTGTCAGAACACCTCTGGTCTGGTAAGCCCAAAACCAGGGTTTCTGCTCATCAGAACAGTTCTATGCATGAGCCAAACATTGCTCACCATCAGCAGCACAGCATCCCCAGCATGCTGGGGGCTGCCTCTCTGCAGAAGGCACCGGAAGGCTTGAGGAGCAAGAGGGTAAGGTAGGGTAAGGAAAACATGATGCAGTCTGCAACAGTCCCACAAGAGCTGTTTTGCATATAAACAACAAGCATGAAGCCAGTCACACAGGAAATGCTTGAGTACAGCAGTGTTTACAATCCAATCTGGACTTTGTAGTTGCACTGTTCTCAGCATGTAACACCACACTTTACAAACACTCAGGTATAATATGAAATAATAGCGCCTCCTTGTTGTGTCCTGTTGTCAGTGTTAAACTTTTCTGACATTACTGATCTTAGTCAAACTTCAAATGTTTGCTTAGATAAAAATTGTATTTCCCTTGGATTATCTTAATGCCTAATTTATTCATTTTAATTTGTACTTTCTTTTGCCACGAAGACATGTATTTCTTCTCTACAGCAAAATAAATAGCTAGTAAATGTCTTTTATCTGTATTGCTTTCCTTAAGCAGAGATTCTGCTGTTGACATCACTGCCTAAAAACCAACCTCACACTTCCTGTACTTCAATTGGTAACAATCTTCTTTTCCATCTATAAATGAGGTGTTGATATTACTTGTCCTGGTTTAACAAGTGATGACATTAACACATTCTTCCACTTAATCCACATTCTTTCTTCTACTCAAGATAGCTTGAGTCAAGTCAGAGACAAGTCAAAGTCCTGGCAGTTTTGAGACATATAGCAGACCAAAGAAACAAAATAGTGTCTTAATCCTCATTCTGTTGTCTTCTTGTTGTTTATGGTGAGTCGACTATGATACTGAGTGCATATCGATATCTAAATCTAGATGAGCTCTCAGCCATGTTTCCTGCAGGTATAAGACCAGGTTCTCAGTTTTTATCTTGACCCCTAGCTACTGTTGGCAGTAATACTGTTGTATTACTAATTATTATGAAACATCTTTTTAAGATAATCTCTTCAAACATGCAGGGCAGATAGTCCTGTGCTGCATTTTGTAATTGGTTCAGTTCTTATTGTTCTGTTCTCTTAAAAGGAAGCCACTCTGCATATGATGGCAATACATGCAACACCTAATAATTCATATTATAATAAAAAGAAATGCACAAACTATCTTGTTGCATCTCAGGCTTCATTATATTAAATGTTACAACTATAGTTCTGTCCATCTTCAACTCACCAGATGTGTTGCTTAACTGTTTTAACCAATATTTTTTTATCATTTCAAGCCAACCTGTCATTTTACCTGCAGTGTTGCTGGTATTTCACCATATTCTGTCGTAAGAATCATATAACCTTTATTTAATCAGCTAATCTCACTCACACATATATACAAGAAACGCTAAGCATTAATCAGAATATTTCACAGTGAAACAAATGGACAAAACTGTAATGTTTGCGTCCACAAAGCAAGACATACTGTATTATTCACAGCTATTTGTCTGAAATCAGATGTTTTCGGCTGCTCTTCCCTGTGAAAGCGACACAGGGAAGAGCAGTGACAGAAGCAAAACAGTAAAGTTGTGGTCCAGGCACTAAACACTGAGCTGACACTCAGCATAAAACTCCAGAATCCAGAGCGGATTGTTTAAATTTACATTATTCTTACAAATGTTACACAAATTACACAAGCTGGCGTGAAACAGTAGAGGAGCACTGACAGGTTCTTCTGTCTCTGAAACCCCTCTATTTGTCCTACAGCAAGTAGTCCTTCATGGTGTTTTCACAGTGTCATTTGATGCAATATAATAAAAATATCATTTGCCACATTGAAGACTGAATAACAGCAAAAATTATGTATAAAAGGTGTACAGAAGCAGAGCAAAGGAGAGGCCACAGTTTCTGAGACAGACCATAAGAAAAGGTCATAACTGTTAGATAACACTAACATCAGTCAGCTAACAGAATACTAAATACTACAATACTAAATGCAAACTTTGGGTGCGAGATGTGCAATCACTGCATTGTTGTGTCCAACAGACTGAAAGTAACAACGTTTGAGACAAAAACGTTCCATCTAAAGTTAAAACCAAACCCATGCCCCAATCTGAAAACACGGACAAATTAAACCAAAATTTGCACTAGGCTGCGGCATTTACACTACGGCGAAGACGTCACATATAACTTGTCCCAAATACAGCGGATTAATTACAGTTAAGATGAATTAAATGTACTAATCGCTGTACTTTGTCCCTCACTTGAAAATCAGCTCACCTTGCCTTGCACGGATACAATCACTCTGTTCCGTTTACATCCGTAAACGTCACAAAGGTTCTCGCCAATCGTGTTTGACAGCGCTGCATTAATACTTTGGCGTGCACCGCTTATGTTCAAGCAGGCGGTGTCCCTACTGAAATCATATGCCGTTATAAAAGTTTTTTTTTTTTTTTGTAGCAGCATATGATTTATGATGGTTAACGTCTGATTAGACAGTAAACAATTCATAATTATGGTCAGAAAACTACAAAAAGGTGAGAAAAAATGTGTCTAGCATATCTAGACATAAACATCAGACATGATCAGATCAACATTCAGATTTTCATCGCGTGTGTGCATTTGATTTTGTAAGTTATGCAAGGGGTAAAGGTAGAAAGTTTACCAGCATCATTAATTCACATTACAAATATGTGCTAAACATATGTTGGGCAGGCTGAAATATTGTTTATTTTAAAAATGTGTTAGAATTGTTTTACCTTCAGTATAGAATGACAGTTCTTGCTTTTTTGACTGATGAATAAGAAACTAGTATGGATATGTGATGCACATAAAAACAGTTAAAAGTAATGTACATAAGACTGTTGCAGCCAAAGCCAAGGGAGGAAAAGATACAAATAATTAATCTGCTAAGGTCTGACTGAAATGTAACAAGTTAGGATTATTTTTGTAATTGTTAGGTATTTTTAGTCAGATAGAAATTACATAGATACTTTATGTATTAGAAATGTTTAGTGGAGATAGGATGTCTATTTAGACTGTTAAATGCTTAGTCATGCTTATGAGTTTCTACAGGGTACATCAGGTCAAGGATGACTAGAGAGAAGAGTTGATGACTGTCAGCAGACAGGGTGTTTAATATTATTATTACGATGTGTATAACTGTAGCCTTAGCCATAATATGTTCTTATGTTTAATACCACGACATGTCACTAGAGGTCGTGTGAGAATGTTTTTAGCTACACACCACTTAACCAACACATTCACACGTTGATTTGCTTCATGTTTTGACTACTGCTATGACCAGCTGCAAAGCTGGTAAGAGAGACGTCTCGGTTGACGTTTCTGTGTAGTATGGGGCTAGCCCAACCGAAGTGATAAAATGTATAGGCCTGGTGGGTTCAGGGTCTTTCATCTTACATCTGCCTGCGAGCAGTTGGAGGTGCAAGATACCTGAGCGTGTAATGTTAATTTTACCTGTGATCCTTTGAATAAATCAGCACTGTTTTGAAGTTACTTGGACTGTCTCGTCTCTCAGAGTTAGCAATGGTAAGAAGAGCCATAATCCTACACTAATGAAAGACAAAGACAAAGAGTACCACTTTTATTTCCAGTTATCAAAGTTTTGTCACAACTTAGCACAAAGCAATGACCAAGAGGACACACATGACTTTTTAACTAAAAGTTTAACAAATAAAAGCAAAAGTGAAACCTAACTCAAACAAGAAACCATGTGCTCAGGATGAACACTGTTCACCAGCTAATATGGCAGAGGAGCAGCCAGTACATAGTATAATAATGACAGTGTTTCACTTCCCTCTACATTCCCTGTCAGGGTCCTGTAGGCAAAATGACTCAGGTTTTCCAGTGATTTGATTGGGGCAGGTCACCATGGTGAACCATCTCAGTTAAAAATGACAGTTTCATGAAAACATGAGTAAAAACCCAAAGGTATGTAGCTGGATAATCTCTTCTCATGGTACAGGCCCCAAGAGCTGCTGTGGCTCCCTGGGCTAAGTGAAAAAGCAAAAGTGTATTTAATTCTGAGCCTGTTACAACTGGCGCGTAAAGCTGCCGATAATGTCGATGGTGAACTCAATTATAAGGCCAGACGAGGATAAGCATAACACTGCTTCTTTAAACAGAGCACTGGACAGAAACACATGATAAACAATGCAGGAGTCTGATTCAACATATAACACTCTCACGTCAATAATCCAGTCCAGGGGTCAGAGCCAGCAAACTCACACATCCAAGGTATCCACAAGAGGAACGGTCAATAAGTGAAGTCTATAAGTCCATGCACAGAATACAAACAGAATCAGAAAGGTTAGGCAGCAGTACTCGGTGTTTACAGGGCAATCTAGGGTGAGCGCTGGAATAACAGGCACTAGGAAAACCACTGGAAAGTCTGAACATGAGTTAGAACAATCTAGCAGCTTCCTGGTGGGAGGAAGCTGCCTATAAAGGGGTGAAAACAGGTGCAAACAATTGTCACTGAATAATCTAAAGAGCCCGTAGCTGAAATGACACCGTGACAGGAAGTGGTGTCAAAATAAAAGCATGATACTGGAAGCAGAGGAAACGGAATAATGACAGAGGCACTGTGACTAGATTTTTGCGACCTTGTTACACAGTTCCCCACCAAGCATTTACTATTTCTTAATTTGGCCTTAAGCAGCACTTGATCAATGGTTCTTTCCAAATGCTTCACACACATTATAGCCTTTAACAAATGTAGGCCGCAGTTCAGCATTTCAAGAATACTCTTTTACTCATCTTAGCATTGCTCTATTACATTCCTTCAATATCAACCCAGTTTGTAATACTGATCAAGAGCTAACACACATTACATTGGTTATTGCATTGCTATAGCTGTTTCAAACCCTCCTTTTCCCCCTCCTGTAGTGATACATCTTCCTGTTGCTATTCCCCCTGCATCCTGGATTCAGGGGTATCCCAGGAAGGCAGCATTTGTAGATTAAATATGTCATAATGGGCCACTTCTTTCAAAGACTCCCAGAAATGCTGCAGATAACCCTCCACTTGCGGCTCTAAAAAATACAGCCTTCTTTGAAAAAAAAAAAGCAAGAGGTGTGGTTTTAAATCTATCTTATCTGTGCAATACAGCCCAGAGAGCTCCATGAGTTTCACTAACGGATTCTGAGTTCAGTAACTGCCTGTGGAGTCAGCATATTCATATCCTGATACTAATACTAACACGTGTCATATGAACGCTCAAAAACTAATGCAAGTAATGGCGCAGGCTTAAGGTTTATATGTTGAGCTCTACAGCATTACTGCTACAAATACAAACAGTGCTGATGCTGAGCTAAGACGGTTTCTTCAATATGCTGAGCTGTGCTGTTGTCTTAAAGAGTAGTATAACAGTGTTGAACCCTGTCTCTGTGCTCGTAAATAGGCCTACTGACATGGGAGGGCAGTCAAGCAACATGTTCCCTCCTTAACAGGGCTATTGAGTTAAAACACAAACACACACACACATTGCAAATAACTGGCATTGCAGTGGTATGAAAACAACCTGAGTGATGTCTTTTTAGAGACTCTTGGTGAAAACCTGCTTTACAAAAGGCTTCTCTCAAACCATCAACTGGTGCCAATCAACAAAATGTTCCTATTTTGTACATAAGATAATAGGAGACAACCGGGCACAGTGAGAAATCAGAAGCAGCTCAGTCAAGTATGCTGAGGCTGGTTGTCAAGCTCCTTGTTGGCAGTGCTGTGTGTGTTTTCATGAGCCTGTTAGGTTATTGCGGTACAGTCTGCCCGACTTGATACTACAGGATGATTGCCTTCTTTCGGTAACGCCCGTTCCTGAGTACATACAGAGTGGAAAGTGAAGGCTTATAGGGTGTAGCTGATAGTCCCGCCCCTCTCTCGCGTGTGCCACCACGGCACCATTGCAAGGACATCTTATGTAACGTTAGCGTTTGGCGGCGTGTTACGGCAACGCACCAGTAGGCATTTGGAGGGTCCGCCCACCACGTTCACAGGCTGATACGGAGGGAATCGCCAGCATCGTGGTACATCATCTCCAGCAAGGTGACTGGTGCTGTCGCACAGGATTTCTTCGTGGGTGGTAAATACCGTCAGGTAAGGAGATAGCGCACGTTTCTGCTGAATGTAAAACTATAAAGGTTACGCTGCAGAGGCAGTAGTCAATAAATGCAGGAAATAAATGTGAATTTGCGTTATTTTATTGATGATCAATTAAGCACGAACTAATCACTAAGCCAAGAGGACTCGAATATTTGTTAATGATGAATAGGGGGAATTTATGATACATCTGGCAAAAAATCATGACTCATACATTAGGTAAACATTACTTAAGTGTATGATTTGTACCTGGAAAGTAAGACTGTTCGACCTAGAAGCATCTGATCTATTTTGATTCAAAAGGACCTATACAATTAATAATATTTCAAACATGTAAACAACTGTAATCATTATTAGATCATTTTCAGGCAATGTTATATATCAAACAAAGGTAGAACATTGTGGCTGCAACATTCTGAGAACCTTGTCTAAACATGTTTAATGAACTGTTTCTTTGATCACATTCACACAATGTTCCATATTATACAGAGGTAGAACGTACACGATTCCAACATTCTGAGAACCTTCTCAAAACATTCTCACTGCATAAAAGTGAATATTTTGGTTTAACCCTCATGTTGTGTTTATTTCATGTTAAACAACTTGGTGTGCTGGTCTCATCATAAAAAGTGTAATAATACATACTGTGGTCGCAAATGTTCGTGTGTTCTGTTGTGTGCAAAGTGGGTTGACACTGTTGTGAAAACTGTTGCATGTATTGGTTACCGATGTTTTCTGTGAAATGCCGCGCTGTTCTGGCAAATGTGGGATTGTGGGGGAGGAACAGGTGCGGGAGGAGATAAGAGGGATGACAGGTGGGCGTGTTGTTTTTAGGTTCTGTTGGCGGGCGATGGTGAAGTTCTGGGAGACTGTTGTTTATTCTTTTATTTTCTTTAGAGAGCACATGGTGCCAGTTCATACAGCGTCTTCATTTGTCTCCATACCGCGTTCAATAAAACCACAAAAAGACAAACCAGGTGTTCTCCTCCTTGTTGAGCCAGGTGCCGGCACACTGCTGGATAGTTAGCTGTCTCAGTGTAGCACAGGCTCGGGCCAGCTCCTCTCAACCGAGCCAGCGGTCGTCACAATATCTTATCACTATTTGTTGTGTTAGAATTTTTTCTCAACTTAAGGTCTTGTGAACATTACAAGTTTTGAAGTTCTGTTTGTTATTTATGGCCTTTATGGCCATAAAGCTCATTGATCTGAGCCTATATATCTTGAATTCGAGTTCCAAAAAATGTAATTTCTGGATTATTGACTATAAGAAATAATTAAATGAAACATAGTATACTGTTTATCACAGACTTGGGTCAAAGTTACCAAGGACATTTGTTTTGAAACCATTTAAATTTTTTATACAGTCACATAAAATAACACCTGTTATGTTCCTGGTCAAAAGTGACCGGGAATATTTAATTTTTTTCAAGGTTCGAGGATTTAATTGTCAGTGACTTCCTCATTCTCTGTTGAGCTGTGTTGCAGTCCCACACATCAAACTGGGTCAACCACAAACAGGTAAGGCAGGAACCTTTGTTTATACATAAAACCTCCACATTGAATTTTCTAAATTAAGGCTGATGTGTGGGCTGCCCACTCTCGACGCTCTAAATTGGATTCAAAACAGTAAGGATAATAAAACACATTTTTTTTGTGTTTGAATGATGTGCTGGTTTGTTCCCTGAAACATGTAACAGTTAACAAAGCACATAGTCTCATTTGAGGGAAAGTAAATGAGTGCCGTTGATTACAGAATTTGATATCAATAAGGGATGTAAAATTCACGTTTTATAAGTGAGTTCCTGCTATTTCTTGGCAGCTGTTTCCCCAAATTGTCTGATTTCTTTTTCATTTCCCCCCAGCTGGAGATCAGGCAGTGAGTTATCTTGCCTGAATAGATAATCTTTGATAAATTCCACACTAGTGAGGCACAGGGAAATCGCCAAGTTGTTTTTTTTTCCCATGGAATGTGTGGGTGGTTTGTTGCACTTGAAGGCTGTTTAAACACTGGCACATGTGTATCTCAGTAACAACCAGTGCTATGGAGAGAATTCGATGTGACACAGTGTGCCTCTGGCAGAACTGTCTTTGGGGGCTGGGCATAGTTTATGGGACAACTGTATTATAGCTTTTAGGGTGACGGCGTATTCAGTGGAATAAATCAGCACTGTTTTGTAGTTACTTGGACTGCCTCGTCTCTCAGAGTCCGTATGGTAAAAAGTACCAGATACAACATTATACACGGTTTTCCCTCAAGACATCATTAAATGCCACAACCACAGAAGGACCCTGGTGAAGCCAGCATCCTGGATGAAGAACTGGCCCTCCACTGAGAAGTAGCTGCCTCGGAAAGCAAGCCCAGCCAGATCCGGTGATGACGGATTTGTTCTGAGTCTCCAGTTCAGGACCATCTTGGAACTCCAGACCCCAGCTTAACTCTGGCTCAAAAAGGCTTCGAGCTCAGCGCTTCTCCTTCCGTGGCCATGTGAGCCCTGGCAAACTTATGAAAACTGTAGTTACTACTTGATTAAAGTCTTTAACCTATGCAAACTGAGTTATTTTTCTCTCCAGATTTGTGACTAAACCCCAGAATTTAGATCTAAAATCTCACTTAATTTTAGAACATTTTAACTCATCCTTCTACCATTGCAACAATGAACAATCAACAATAGTCCAGTAATTCCTCCAGACACTCACTGATTCCATTTTTGTTACAAATGTACCATTTCATTGAATTTTTCATCTCAATCATTTTCCATGTTGTACTTATTGGAAATACATTTATTTTGCTTATAACTGGTTTCATTATGTCATTTTTGGTGTCTCATATTTTAAGTAAATAGGTCAATGAACAGCAGAATTCCTGGCATTCAGATCAAGACTAAATTAACTACTGTCATGATTCGGTTCCGCTGCTTCCTGTCTGGCTTTTATTTTGACGTTACTTCCTGTTTTTGTTTCACCTTAGTTTCGGTCTTTTGGCGTTCTTCATCGCTCACATTAGTTTCACCTGTTTCGTTATTGTTTGCACCTGTTTACACCTTTAGGCAGTGTCCTCCCACCAGGACGCTGCCAGATTGTTCTAGACCCCAGCTCTGACTTTCCAGCATTTTTTTCGGTTTTGGTATTTTGTGTTTCTGACCCGGACTGTTTCCTTGGTATATTCATTTCTGCTTTGCCCTCTTGTCTCGGACTTCCCTCTGGACTACATATTTTGGATCACCTCTGTTGGATGTGTTTGCTGGCTCTGACCTCGGATTGTGAGTTTTGTGTTTTCACCGTGTCTTGTATGGTTTTCTTTTGTTCAACGTTAGTTTTCTTAATAAAGAGACGGTTTTATTTTGCACTTCCTCGTCTGGCCATTTAATTGAGTTCACCGTTTCTGACAAATTTATCATTGGAGTGTAGTCCACTATAAACAACTCTGTGCACTAATGTAACCGGCGGGTTGGCCACGCCTACACCGCCTGGTTAGTAATTTGACAGAACAATCAGGGATATAAATAACACCTGGGGAGACGCTGTTGTCACAAGCAATTTCTGTGCTGGTTGCTGCCTTAACCGGTCTGATGTGAATCTCCCTCCATTGAGCTGTGTCCCGCTTTCTTTAAGGTTTGTCCAACGGGCTAATTGTAGATCGGATCTGTTAATAGTGCAACGTGTTTAATCAGGTTGTTTTGGTTATAGGCTGGTTTTAGGAGATCGCCGCATGCTCTTCCGGAGGGATAATTGATGCGAGCGGGATCCAGTAGAAGTTGGCGTCCATCGCACATGTTGTACTAGGGTGACGTGCAGCCAAGGTAACCTGTAGTGTTGTTGGTTTTAATTGTTTTGATCGTTTCTATGCTATTCCTTAACAGTGGCTTTACTTGATGCAGGGGTGATAGCCACTGCTGCTTTGCTTTGCTTTGCTTATGTAGTGTTTTGCTTATGCAACGTTTCGCCTTGTTTGCTTTTATGTTAAGAGGGTTACCGAGTATTATGTTCCCTCTTTATTGTATTGTTTTAAATAGGGTTTAGTCCATTTTATGGTGTGAACAGTGTGTGAATGGTTTTATGCACAGGGAGGCAAGGCCCTCTTGTATTTGGTTGTGTGATTAATTGATTTGTGGTGTTTTATTTAATGGTGCCTTGTAATCTGTTGACTGACCATTTTATTCCTGTTCTGCACTGTATTTATTGAGTGGGGGGAAACTTCTTATAGGTAGCATTTTAGCTTCTGGGGTTAGGTTTCTTAAAACATTTTCATTGTTAAATTATACTTTGACTCAAAGTTTTATCTGTGTGAGTAACTCCAGCGTCTCCGTGTTTGCAGACTTATCTGGGGGGTAGCAGCTCAGTAATTCTAAAGGGATAATGGATATTCAATATTAATGTCCATATTCATTAAGTGTAGTCATTTTCACTACAGAACTAACAAAAATGGTCAGGGAGTGTATAAAAAAAGTTATAGCAAAATAATGAAAATCATAAGTGCAAATGTCTGCATCCCCCGTAATGAAATTTTCTTTAGTACTTTGTATGTCCTCCATAACCTCCTCAACCTCCTTACTCTCTGAGCAGCATTTGGATCCTTTCAGGTGTAATTTTAGCCCATTCTTCATGGCAGTCGAACAGATTTTTGGGTTGTCAGCTATGTACAGCCTTTACCACCCTGAGATGAGACTTTTACTGTTGTAACATCTGCAATGATGTATTTTTTACAGCTGACCAACACGACAACTGTCACAGTGTAGAAATGGGCTATAGTAAAGGCTATATTATGCCAATCAGCTCAGCACTGCCACCATCACTCATTGTTTGCTTTTTCTGCAAAAAGTCACAATAGAGCCTATAGTAGACATATGCCTACATCAAAGTAGTGCCCAGCCACAGGCATTATATTTGTACAGAATGTGGACCTGGAACCTTACACCTATGATTTAAAGTTAAACAAAGATTTTGTTTTAATTTGAAGGTGGACACAGTACTTTTTACTTGAAACTTTCAAGATCACAATGCTGTCAAATTCTGACGCATACAACAGTTTTATAATCAGAGTAAAAAAAAAAAAAAGTCTAGAGCCCTTGAATAATTTGCTGCTTTTTTGATATACAGTATAAGCAGTTTATTTTCAGTGATTTGGCTATGACTTTGATTTGAACATGTAAAAAGGTTTACCTGGCTATTCACTTATATTTTTGACATTCAGGACCTGATTTAACTCCACTCACATACCTACACTGTAACGTTTTTCTTTCTCAGTCAGAATGTTTGGAGCAGTGGTGGTTGGCATCGGCAGAGTAGGGTTGGTGAGGATAAGAGACATGTTGGCTCCACTGCCTGGCAGTTCTGCAGAGAACATCACTGTCAAAGGATTCATTTCCAGGTAACACACACATGCTCCCATCACACACAGAAACACAAGCAGTTCTAGTTAGATAACATAGCCTGAAGCTGTAAGGGAGGAGAATCCATTCAAGTCCTTCTGTGTGCACTCTGTGCCTGTCACCCATATTTACATAGAAATGGGTGACCCTGTGGAAACAAAAGGATGAGTGTCATTAAATAAGAGCATGTGATAAAGATGTGTTTCTGCTCTGTTAGATTCTTTCTAAAGCAACAACATCCACACTGGAACAAGAACACTTGTTTTATATACATGTATATAAAAAGACAGGAGTGATAGAACTAGGGCAGCACAGTATGATTCTTAGTTGCTGGATGTTGGTGAATTCAGCCAAACTACTTCTGAATCAGATGCTGGTGCAGGCACAGGCTGGCAGTCGCTCAGGCACCTCACGTAGGAAGGAAGTGCAGGTTTGATCCACAGATTTCAGAGTAGGTATTCCTGGGGCTAGTTCGGCAGGTCGGCGGTCGAACCGATATCTCAGGTTAGCAGGGAGGTCAGATGGGTTGATATTGACTTGTGGCAGCTCATGCATCTTGGGCAGCGGTGGATTGCAGGTCAGACCCATGGAACCCAGAGTAAGTATCACTGAGCTTAGGCTGGAGGATTGGCAGTTTTGCGAGACAAGAGAAGGATTGTCGACAAGCAGAGACTGAAAACTGGCACTGAAGAATAGAGGATGAAGTGCAGGTCACTGGTTAGACCTGGGAACTGGAGGAGCGGTCCACTGGAGAACTCTTAGGTTGGCTTGTATTACAATGGACCCGAGAGACATGGAAGGTAGGATGGACCCTCACGGAATTGGGTCGTTTTAGTCTGACAGCTTTAGGGTTAATGACTCTTTCAATGACAAATGATCCCAAGAAGAGTAGAATCAATTACTTTGTGTGTATCTTTCCAAACCTTGCAGCAACGGCGGAGGTATTGCTGAACTGATGGCACAGTGACTTCTATCTCATTGGTGGGAAACAATGGGGGTTTGTATCCCAAAGAGGCTTCAAAAGAAGATGGTCACATTACTGAACTAGTGAGGGAGTTGTGAGTGTATTAACACATGGTTACTTCATGTTGATGGATTGGTTGCCGCTATTTCTTGGCTCAGTCTGTCTTAAAGAGCCCATGGCACTCTTCCTTGTTTTCTGACTTATCTACAATGTTACAACGGAAAGTTAGCATCTTAGATGTGACCTAAAGCTCAAAGAATGAGGTGTGTGTGTATATATGTTCTAGTACCTCTATGCAGAAGCACCTCGGTTTATACATGTCTGACAAACTTTCGCTCGAGACTTTTTTCAACAAGATACTTTAAGGATTTCCTTGAATGGTCATAATCTACAGGCAGTTGCATGTTCATCTCAGCTGGCCTGACATCCACCGGTGCCATTTTAAAAGTGGAATTTTTTGAATGCCACTGGTGTTGTGTATATATTTTCCCTCCTGCTGCTGAACTGTGACCAGAGGATGTGGAGAAAAATACAGGGCCCGAGGTTACTGCATGTCCGGGAATGTTCCTGTACAGCGACTAGCTGTTTTACTTGACCGGGTCTAACCTACAAGCAGCCGGCCTGTGAAGACCTCACAGCACTGAATGATCAGCTCATCAATGCTGGATTCCCCCAGAGCACAGTACCTGTTTGTTTTGACAGCTTGAGGCCAGTGTGTCTGCCGAATATGATGTGTTGCTGGATAACGAGTGGATTAACGGTCCATGATGTTATTGTCAGTGCTACACTACCTTTTGGAATTAATTTCACTACTTTGTGACTGTATGTGGTCGTGTGGGGGAAGACACAGCAATCACCTTGTGACAGTGGTGAGGTGACAGTGGTGTGGTCAGTAGAGCAGTTGTCTCCCAACCGGATGGCTGACTTGGTTCTGTACTGAAAACAAATTCCTTGTGTGTAACATACTTGGCCAATAAAGGTGATTATCCTCCTACCTAGTAGCTACTTGAAAGGGAGAGATGTTTCCACTACTCAGTGGGACTTAACAGTAAGTTAAAAAAAAAAAAAAAAAAACACACACACATTGCATGTCTGTTAATGCCTTGTTTCTGTAACGTTAGAGAATTGTTGTAAGGCTGGAGGAGTTACTATGTCTGCATTATGAAAGTTAAAATAGGGAGTTTCTCAATTACCCATTCTGTTTAGTGTTGGACATCTCTTTTCATCGCTACATATAACATTGTTTACCTATCTATGGAGGAGAAATTCTTAATGTGATTAATTTATGCCGTTGTGGCTCATCCTGCTGTTCACTTTCGACACATCGGCAGCAGGAGGTGTGCACATTCGCAAACCTCTTGTTTTTTAGGAAGAAGCTCCCTGGTTTTATCATTCTGAATGTTTTATCATTATCAATTCTGACTATTTGGAGTTATGAGGAGTGCCATGCTGATCTAGAGGTACCCAAGATTAAACATTAAATGGCTGGAAATGAGCATGCCATGGACTCTTAAAGAGTCAGACCTGCTGACTGTACAGCTCTGCTTTCATCGCAGACTCTGCCCCAGCATGCCCCAGCCATCAAGGTGTGGCATGTTGGAAGCCTCTGGTCTTGAAAGCCAGTTTTCATGGAGTTCTTATTTACTCTTTGTTTCTAATGCAGAACTTTTTTTTTTCTGCCCTGTATTACAGTATTTACTCCTGTTTTGTAATACTGTTTCTCTGGCTAGGTTTTGAGTTTAGTTCTTTGCAATTAGTCTTCTACACCCCTGCAACACTTATGTTATGCAGTAAGAGGCTACTCTTTTTATGGCTGCAAAAAAAAGCTTTACACACAACCTTATCAGAGCTCAATATTTGATAATGACCTGTAGTGTTATAAATTTTATGTTGTCTTTATTTGGGTGTGGTCATTTAGATTTAAAAGGGTAGTACATTTTAGCATGCCTTAGTCAACTTTAATTATATAAAATGTAATGTCCCAACAACAAAATTGTAGCCAGTGAAAATGCTGAGTGACAGTAACTTTGGAAAACCACCTGCCACAGTGGCTGGGGGAGAAAAAGAACAAAAGTTGATGTCAGGCTTTGCACTTTCAGTTCATAATGACCCTCCATGCTCAATGATAAGAGTATATTTCAGAGAAAGCAAGTGCTGAGATGATGCATTCTTGTATAAAAATTCATGGGGCAGTGGTGGTCTACAGGTTAGAGGAACTAGCTTGTGACTGGAAGGATTAAATCTGGGTGGGACAGCATAAGCCTAAACTTTATTGTCAAGTATTATCAAAAATACAAGGGATTTGACTCCAACCCAATGACCCCCGATGTGCACAGCAATAAAAACAAAATAACACAATAAATACAAGTTTAAACACAAGTTAAAAGAGCAGGTGACAAAGCAGCCCTTTCCCCACTCTCATTAACACACCACTGTGGTGTTAACCCCAGCGGCTCCAGTGGAGCTGCTCAGTGCCACAGGTCAGTCTGTGGTAGTGCTGTGCTGCTTCCAGGTATGAATGTATAACCCTGTGAATGTGAACAGGGCCCCCCTGCAAAAGAGAGGCGGCCTCTCAGTGGACTGACCCTGAATGAATAAATAGAGGTTAAAAAAAAAAAACCTGTGATGCAAACCAAGGTGCAGTACATATTAAGCATTATTTGGCATTGTGACTGTCACTGTCATTCCTTTCCATCACACCAATGGGCATGCAAAATGGCTATTACAAAGTGGAGTTATTTGATCACATGAAGTTTGTAAAATGAGAGGAGCAGTTTCAAAATGCACAGTCACTCAAATACCATTAGATTGTGTCCACTGTCTTAGAAGATGACAGTGTTTTATCCCATCTGTATGATTCTGTCCACAGGAGAAGCCTGGACACTCAGCAGGGAGTGCCTCAGATTTCAGTAGAGGAGGCTGTGAACAGAGAAGACATTCAGGTGGCATTCATCTGCACTGAGAATGTGTCTCATGAGGACAGTATCAGGTATTGTGCACAACAAAAACTGCAACAAGTGTCTGCACTTGATCTGTCACATAAAATAAATCAGGAATCCAGTGAATGAACACTTATAGTTGTGTAACAAAATAAATGGAAAAACCAATATAAATGGTGCCATGTTCATGAACCCATGGTGTAGCTGAGTTAAGTGCACCCTGCCTGGTGCTCTGGGGGGATGTGCCAAGTGCACACTCATGTCCTTATACTTGTACAGCACTTTTCTATGCATTGTAGCACACTCAAAGCACTTTCACACTATTTGGTCATTCACACTCCAGATCATTCATACACCGGGGTCATCACTGGGAGCAACTGGGGGTTCAAAGTCTGGGTCAGGGGCACTTCAGACATTTGGACTTGGCAAGCTGGGAACCAAACCGTTAATCCTCAAGTTAGGAGGCAACCTGCTTTACCTCCGGAGCCACAGCTGCCACACAATGACACTTGGGCTCTGGTGCATCCTGCTCCTGTCACTGAGATGCTTCTGCAGTTTGATTAGAGTCCACCTGTGCCTAATTTAATGCCCTGGGTATAATTAGGAAAGGTACACACCCATCTGTATAAGGTCTCACAGCTGATGGTGTATGTCAGAGTGAAAGCCAAGCCATGAGGTGAGCTGTCCACAGACCTGTGAGGCAGGACAGTGTCAAGACACAGATCTGGGGCAGGACACAAGAACATCTCTGCAATATCAGAAGTGCCCAGGAGCACGGTGGACTTCATCATTCTCAAATGGAAGAGATTTGCAACCGGACTTCACCGACAGAGCCTCCCAGCCAAACAGAGTAGTCGATCATGAGAAGTAAAGTCCTCTGGTCTGATGAAACAAAGATTCCCAACAGTGTGTGTGTGGAGAAAACTAGGCACTGAGCATCACCTCACTGATACAGTCACACACGGTGGTGGCAGCATCAGGCTGTGGGGACTGGGACTGGGAGATTAGTCAGGACAATTCAAGTGGGTCAAAGGTTTACATCCACTGTGCTGACTGGGCCTTATAAGCTTCTGATTTGCTAACTGACATCTGAGTAAATAGGAGGTGCAGCTGTGGATGAATTTTAAGGTCTACCTTCAAACTCGGTACCTCTTTGTGTGACATCATGGGAAAATCTAAATAAATCAGCCAAGACCTCAGAAACAACTGTGACCCTCCACAAGTCTGGTTCATCCTTGGGAACAATTTCCAAACGCCTGAAGGTTCCATGTTCATTTGCACAAACAATACTACACAAGTATAAACACATGGGACAATGCAGCCATCATACTGCTCAGGAAGGAGACGTGCTCTGTCTCCTAGAGATGAACGTACTTTGGTCCGAACAGTACAAATCACAGAACAACAGCAAAGGACCTTGTGAAGACACTGAAGGAAACGGGTACCAAAGAATATCGACAGTAAAACAAGTCCTATGTCGGCGTAACCTGAAAGGCTGCTCTGTGAGGAAGAAGCCACTGGCCACATGGAGACAAAGATCTGACTTTGTGGAGAAATGTCCTCTGGTCTGATTAAACTAAAGTTGAACTGTTTGGCCATAATGACCATTGTTGTGTCTGGAGGAAAAAGGGAGAGTCTGCAAGCTGAAGGAACACCATCCAAACTATGAAGCATGGGGGTGGCAGCATCATGTTGTGGGGGGCTTTGCTGCAAGAGGGACTGGTCCACTTCACAAATAGATGGCATCATAAGGAAGGAACATTATGTGGATATATTGAAGCAACATCTTAAGACATCAGCCAAGAAGTTAAAGCTTAGTCACAAATGGGTCTTGTCCAAATGGACAGTGACCCCAGGCAGACTTGTAAAGTTGTGGCAAAATGGTTAAGGACAAGAAAGTCAAAGTACTGGAGTGGCCGTCACAAAGCCCTGAGCTCAGTCCAATAGAATATTTGTGGGCAGAACTGAAAAAGTGTGTGAGCAAGGAGGCCTCCAAACCTGACCCAGTTCCACCAGTTCTGTCAGGAGGAATGGGCTGAAACTCCAGCTACTTGTTGTAACAAGCTTGTGGAAGGCATCCCCAAAGGTTTACACCAAGTTAAAGGCAATGCTACCAAATACTACCTGAGTGTATGTAAACTTCTGACCTGATGGAAATGTGATAGAAGAAATGAAAGCTCCCCAAGTGTTAAAAAAAAACAAAAAAAAAACTGATAAGACAAGAAGTGCAGAGCTTCTTCATTCATGGCTTCACACCAAACACTGGATAACTTTATAGCTCTGTCATGTAAACCTTTTTCACAAAGGTTATGTAACTTCTCCCACTGATAAAATGCTTTGGTTCAGAATGCAGAATTTAGTGTTTACTCAGGATTTCTATTGTCTCATTTTGACCAAGAAAACTTCTATCTCACAGAGCTTTTCTGCATGCAGGGAAACATGTCTGTGTTGAGTATCCCATGGCCATGAGCTACAAGGCTGCTGTGGAGCTCTGGGATTTAGCCCAGGAAAAAGGTGATGCTAATAAATAACCATGTGAAAGTACTTGCATGCACTGTATGTTCCATGTGCAGGTCAGGTGTTAATTAAACCAGGGGTTTTCAACTAATTGTGAGCGACTGTGTGGCACTATTTCAATCCTGAAAGTCACCTTGGCTTTTCTAAATTTAAGATACTAGCATGGATTTGATTATTCACAAATGAGTAGTACATTATCTATACTGCTT